GAATATATACACAAATTTGCATTCCTACCAACAGTGAATAAAGATTTCCCTTTCCCCACAATCTCATTTGTTGTCAATTGTTTTGTTGCTCTTAGCTATTCTGGGTTGCCCCATGCAAAATGGTCAGCCCCTGAAACCATATGCACATCAAAAATCACCTCAGTGGATTATAAACACTTACACACACACACACACACACACACACACACACACACACAGAGCGAGAGAGCGAGAGAGAGAGCGAGAGAGGGGAGATCTGTTCCCCTCTTTTGGTGGCTGGACTTCATTTCTCAGAGCACACAGACCTAGACTGGACTGCCAAAAGTTTGCCTTTTGTTTATGTACTTGAATCCAGACCCCCCCTTTCCTTTCCCCTTCTTGCAAAGAGGTTTGACATGATTGGAGCTACATTTCTGTCTCTAATCAGTAAGATATTTATCCACACAGACTGCTTTCACTCTAGTCTTATGAAAACATCACTATGATCCACAACTTTGCTTGTTTCTTTATATCCCCTCTCCCCTCGCCTCTCTCCTCTCCCCTTTCCCCTTGCTCCTCTCTCTGAATGTGTGTGCATTCTGTCGAATGGTGGGAAAGTAAATTCCAACCACAGGACGGGTTTCAGAACATTTTGTTACTTACTTTGTTGTAACTTAAGAAAACTAAGGGTGTTAAATGACTGTAGCCAAACTGAGCACAAATGGCTCACCCTATGCCATGGTTCTTAGTTCTACTCTGTTTCCCAAGGTAACAGCTGCAAGTCTCCAGACAAAACTTGTACCCCATTAAGCCTCCACAACGTCAGAGTGCTGGTGATCCTGAGATCAGATAATTTCTTGAGGAGTGGGGGAGGGGAGAGCAGATCTGATGTAGCAAGAATAGAAGTACAGTGCCTAGTTCACAGTGGGCACTTGGAGCTCTCAAAAAAAGAAAAGAAAAGAAAGAAAAGAAAAGAAAAGAAAAGAAAAGAAAAGACAGTATAATATAACCAATTCCGAGCTAAGATTATAAAGTTCCTGGCATTTGTAGCAACAGCTACCAGAGTCCCAAACCTTCAAACTCTAGTTGGCTTCAGGTGTATCAGTGACTCAATTTGAAGTGGCTCCCAGGGTGTTTAATGGATAGAAACCCTAGAAGGCAGTAAGAACAGGAAGTTTGTCTACACTGCCTAAGCCCAGGAACCTCCTCTTTATGCTCTACTGGAAGAAACTTTTTATAAGGACTTCCATCTTGTAGCTGATGTTTGGAGCCTGCTGTCATCTTTCTCAGCAGCTTTCCTCAGTTTTTCAGCTCTAGACCACACAGATTCTCCTCAGAAGAACACAGTAAGGACATTTGTGACAAGGTACTTAAGGACTTACCATGGGTGAGTTGATCCCCATGAGGTGTTTGCCCAGGTTTTCTTAGGGCAGGGGTGATATTGCCCTTTCCTCTTACCATATGGCTCTTCGGCGACCTCTTTAGGAACAGGGTGGAGGTGGGGTGGCAAGGCCCCTCAAGCTGTTTAGTTTCCACTCACCAGAAGATAAGGGTCAAATAAGTACTGAGGAGATTGTTATGCTTCTTCATGGAAAGTCTCCCTTCTTGTGAAGCTGAAGTCCCCTCCCCCCCTCCACCCTCCATCCCTGTTGAGAAGAAATATCCAAGCTTCAGTCCATCTCAGGTCTAGGATTTGAGAAATAGGAAATATGACCTAGAGTGGAAATTCATATTCATTTTTTTGTTTTTGGTTTTTCCAAGACAGGGTTTCTCTGTGTAGCTTTGGAGCCTATCCTGGCACTCGCTCTGGAGACCAGGCTGGCCTTGAACTCACAGAGATCCGCCTGCCTCTGCCTCCTGAGTGCTGGGATTAAAGGCGTGTGCTACCAACACCCGGCAGAAATTAATATTCTTGGTGGAAATTAATATTCTTTGGATTCTTACTAGTGTTAGAAGAAAAACAAGGAAGAAACCATTAGTATTGAGTCTACTCTAGTAATTCAGAACCTCACATTATGTATACAGAAGTCTCTCCTATTGTATGAACTATTTATTCTGGGATGTGTTCCATGTGTGTAGGGTTCCATAATTAAATTCATTTGTTATCTATGTACATATAATATGTAAAATCAGATTTTACATATGTATGCCTATGTACATAAATGCCATCTCAGGCTGTCCTTGAACTCTTGGCTAAAGTGATCCTTTTGTGTTAGCCTCCCAAGTGTCTAGGACTACAGGCATGTGATACCATGCCTGCTTTGATTTTCAAATTGTCTAAATCTTCCTTATGCAGATGAACTATAGTCTGATAGACTTATCTGTTATTTAACATTGATTTTCTCCCAAATTGTGTATTTGTCCACTTATTTTTACCCCCAGTCAGCTTTCTTTCTTTATATTAAGATATGCACGCACAAGCAGACTTTAATACCATCTTCTTGTTTAATTGAACCACTTGTCAGCATAAGATGTCCTTTCTTTTACTATTTCATTCCTCCCACTTCCCTTCTCCTACTTGCTACAGTGTCTCATGTAGCCTCAGCTCATCTTGAGCTTTTTATGTATACAAGGATGACCTTGAACTTCTGACTCTTCTGCCTCCACTTTGAATGCTGGGCTTACAAACAAGTGCCATCAGCCCTAGTCTATGCAGGGCTGGCCGAGGAACTTACAGTCTTATGCACGTGAGGAAGGCACTTTATCAACGGAACTACATCCCTGTCCCATATAATGTTTTTCTTTAAAATGTACTTTTTCTATTTCCAATACAAACCTGCAGTTAGGTAGTACAAAATGATAATGGATTTTGTTATTTAAAAATATTGAATATATAATTATTACTAGCTATAGCTACTCTGCTGTATAGTAGAACATTAAAAATTGACTGTGGAGAGGTGGCTTGGTGGTTATGAACACTTGATGAGTGATCATGGAAAATTGTGCTTCAGCCCTAACATTCATTAAGCAATACAGGCTATTTGCAAACAACTGTAACTTCAACCCTAAGGGATCCAGTGCTATTTTCAGGCATCTCTGTGTGCATGGAAGTGCCTGCACATACATATGTGCATATGGTCATGTAGACAGACAGATACACACACACACACACACACACACACACACACACACAGAGAGAGAGAGAGAGAGAGAGCGAGAGAGCGTAAATATGGCCTCAGGCAAATTCTTTTTTAAATTTTTTAAAAAATCATTCTTCTCTTCTATATTACATCCTAACCACTGTTACTCTTTCCTCCTCCCCTTCCAGTCCTTCTCCGCAACCCCCACTCTCTGCTTCCCTTTAGAAAAGGACAGGCCTCCCAGGGATAGCGATCCACCGAACATGGCCTGACAAGTTACAATAAGACTAGGTACAAACCCTCATATGAAGGCTATAAGAGGTGACTTAGTAGAGGAAAATGGTCCCCAAAACAGGCAAAAGAGTCAGAGACAGCCCCCACTCCCACTTTTAGGAGTCTCACAAGAACACCAAGCTAGCCATCATAACACATATGCAGAGGACCTAACTCAGCCCCATGCAGGCTCCATGATTGTCAGTTCAGTGTCTGTGAGCCCCTTTGAGCCCAGGTTAGTTGATTCTGCACATACACAAATCTTAAGAAAAGAATATTAGGAGTTACTCCTCCCATTGTAATGGGCATCCCACCTTGTACACATGAATTATTCTTTATTCACCTCACCTTTCATAGTTTCTCATCTCTGGCAATTACATCCTACTCTCTGCTTCTATGAGCTCAGCCTTTTAAGCTTCCTCATATAAGTGAGAATATGTTGCCTTTTTTATTTAAAACTTTTATGTATAATTAAAGTTCATGAGTTTAAAAGAACATTTGACAGAATCCTTTCTTTTACTTGTTCTCACACAGGGTCTCATTACGTAGGCCAGTCTGGCCTGGAACTCCTGAAGTAGCAAAAGCTAGGCTTCCTGATCCTCCTGCCTCTGCCTCCCAAGTGGTGACTTTCAGACATGTTCCACTCACTATACCTGGCTAGTGGAAGTTTTTATGTAATAAGGCTCTGTCTGCCCTTCAATTTGGAATATTTAACCTGCTTTTTTCCAAGAGATTATTTTTAATAGTTCAAATTAGAAACAAGCCTGCTTCAGATGTCAATCCCTCTCCTCTCCCCCCAACCCCCCACCAGCCTCCCACCTCATCCCCCTTCTGCTCCCCAGGGAGAAGGCCCTCCATAGGGGTTCCCCAAAGTCTGTCATATCATCATGGACAGGGCCTAGGCCCTCCCCCATGTGTCCAGCCTGAGAGAGCATCCCTCCATTTGGTATGGGCTCCCAAAATCCCTTCTTATGCCAGGGATAAATACTGATCCACTACCAGGGTCCCCACAGAGTGCCGAGGCCTCCTCATTGACATCCACATTCAGAGGTCTGAATCAGTCCCAAGTTGGCCTCCCAGACATCAGACTGGGGTCCATGTTTAACCTACTTTTAATTAAATCATAGGTTTAATTTGTTACAAATATAATATTTGTTATACAATTATTTTTATTCTTTTTTTGGTTTTCATGACAGGGTTTCTCTGTGTAGCTTTGGCTGTCCTGGAACTCACTCTGTATATCAGGCTATCCTCAAACTCACAGAGATCCACCTGTCTCTGCCTCCCAAGTGCTGGGATTAAAGGTGTGTCTCATCACCATCCAGCATACATTTATTTTTACCTGTCCTCAAACAATACATGAACCCTGCAACGTTATGATCCTATCCACCCTCATCTGATTTATCATGCACTATCATTGTGTGTGAAATATGAATACTACATCTATATGAATACTCAGATTTGCCTACAAAATTTATCAGTGCCATTGACATTACTGTATAGATGATTATATGCACATCAGCTCGACCTTGAACTTAGGGCAATCTTCTTTTCTCTGCCTCTTAGGGGCTGGTATTATAAGTGTGTGCTGCCAGATCCCCAAAGGGATGTTTCTGTTTTGTAACAGTCATTCATTCATCCATCCATTCATTCTCTCATTCAGTGTATTGTGTGGGTGAATGTTTGGAGGTCAAAGGACAACAGGAAACTTGAGGAAAGCTGTTCTCTTCATCCACAATGTGGTCTAGGGGATTGAACTCCAGTGGTCAGACTAAGTGGCAAGCCCTTTACCTGTTGAGCCATCTCACAGTCTGTTTTTTGTCTTAGTTTAACTTTTTAAGATTTATTTATGTTATGTGTATGAGTGTTTTGCTTGCATGTACACATGTGCACTATATGTGCGCCTGGTACTTTAGGAAACCAAGGGAACACATCAGATCCCCTGGAACAGAAGTTACATATACATGTAACTTCATGTGAGCCACCATGTGGGTGCTGGGAACTGAAATCCCATGCATCACAAGAGCAACAAATTCTCTAAACTGCTGAGACATCTCTTTTTCTCAATGTACACTTTTTTCTATTGTATTACTGTTTTTATTTAATTTGGAAACTTCTCAACTAAGATGTATTAGATATGCTTACCATATTTCCTTTAACTTCGTCCCTTTCACTAGTCTTCAGGATAATATTTGAGCAAGGTACAATCTGTATTTTTGTTCTGCTTTATGTATCATTTGTCTAGTTCTTCTTTCAGGCAGGGAATTTGCCTGTGATCCATGAACCATAAAAAAAGTTTCCAGGATAATTTTTATTATTCTTCAAACAGAAGAGAGTCAAGACTGAGGCATGAAACATAATTTGTCTCAGATCACTCAGCCTGAAAAGGACAAGATGGTTAGTAACATCACAGACCAATTACTGATCCTAAACTTTTACCACTGTGTTTGTTTTCTTCTTAGCTGTGAGTGCTCACTGCCTCCCATCTTGCCTGTCATCTCCAAAGAGGTGGAAGCACATTGAAGTCTTTCAATATTTTTTACACTCTTTACAGATATTGGGGGGATTATAACAACTAACAACTTGATTTGCCATTATATTTTTCCAGGATTTTTTTATATTATATGTTGATGTACTGATTTTAATTTAAGGACACAGTTCCAAAACTAACCCTTTTCAAAGGAGAGTGAGATGTCAGGGTATTTTCCGAAGATTTCTCAACTCTAATAAATACATCAGTGACACAATGCATATATCATTCTACCAGCAGCAAGACATAAAGCCAGTAATGAGTAATTCTCCCATGTATACTCAAAGAAGATATAAGCGACCAGTCATCATGCCTGAAATACATCAGCTAGTGAAATGCATAACACTGTCCTTAAATATGCCATTTATATCTCCAAGTGGTTGAGCAATCTTTTTTGTAGCCTTGGTATAAGTGGAGCAAATGGTCTTTTGGAGAATTTCTAAGTATATGTAAACTACTTTTACTCAATTTCCCAACAGCACTCCATATGGTATTCCATCCATCATCAGAGAATCAATTTACATAAACGAAACCAAGTGCATGTTAAAGGGAAGGAGGGCCAAAACCTCCAGAGAGAAAAATTGAGAGGGACAAGCAAGATGATACCTCAAAGAATTGGTTCAAGGTCATAGTAAGTACCCCAGCAAAATGGATCTAATACTCAAAAGAAGGTGGTCAGGAGGAGTTGTGTTGGACTTGTGTAGTCATTGGTGCTTTTCTTGGTGCAGGGGAGTTGACACAGGAGTCCACGTGCTGGATTAATTAAGGAGAAAATCAAAGAGGCAATATAAAGAGAACAGGTTGGTTTTAGGGTTAAGTCAGGGGGTTGAGTATAAGCAAAGGAAGAAATCAATGCTAAGAAGATTTAAAAGCTCCATACTAGATGCCTCAGTTTTGCTAAAACTGTATGTGTGTGTTGGAGGAGGTTGTTGTTGAAGTGTCTTTGGGGTCCTTATTAAAGAAGAAAGCTAGGTCTGTCATAGGTAAGATCTCTCATTATGGTTTTATAAATGAAATTATATTGTAATATCAAAAATTAGAGAAATGTTAAAAAGTAAATTCATTAACATTTTTAAAAAGATCATTTATATGTTTGGAGTTCATTATCAAAGGAAACCACCTACATGAAAGGACAGAAGAGTCAGGAAATCCACAAGTGATATAAAAGAAATAATAAAATTTGTCACATTTTTATAAATTGCTTCAAAAACAGCCAGGCAATGGTGGCGCACACCTTTAATCCCAGCACTTGTGAGGCAGAGTCAGGCGGATCTCTGTGAGTTTGAGGCCGGCCTGGTCTACAGATCGAGTTTCAGGACAGGCTCCAAATCTAGAGACAAACCGTGTCTCAGAAAAAATAAACAAACAAAAAAGAAATTGCTTTAAAGATTAAAAGCAAAAATACTTGAGTCTTTCCATTTTATGGCTTTCTTTAAGTAAAATTAACAGATAATAAATTACATGCATTTAAGGTATGCAATTTAAGAATACTTGGCTGCACATATGTGAAACCATCATCCCAGTCAACATGTCTGTCAAACACATCCAGCATCCTTGTCTTCCCTTATAATTGTTCTCTTCCATTCTTTCTCCATATTATTTTTAATGCAACTCTTGGTTAGTTTTCTACCACAATAGATTTGTTCACACTTTCTAGATTTGTTTTGTTTTGTTTTTCGAGACAGGGTTTCTCTGTGTAGCTTTGGAGCCTATCCTGGCACTCGCTCTGGAGACCAGGCTGGCCTCGAACTCACAGAGATCGGCCTGCCTCTGCCTCCCGAGTGCTGAGACTAAAGGCATGCACCACTAACACCCGGCCATTTTCTAGATTTTTGTGTAAATGAACTCATGTAGTATGCTATGTGCTGAAAACTTTTGTCTGATTAAGTCTGACTTTAAGTTCCAATGTGCGAATCTTTTCTCCAGTCCTTTATTTGTGTTTCATCCTAGATTCCCTTTGGCATAAAATATGAATGGAAGTGGCTGTTGAATTTGATTCAGAACCAGTGAAGTATTCCTTTCACTCCAGTGGAGGTAAGAAAGGACATGATAGAAGACAAGAGACACCAGTGCTCTATTAACCCATATTCTATTGCCCATACTCTATTTCTCTCACCCTTATTCATGCAGTTCCACTATGAGAAGATGCAGGCTCAGTTTTTTGTTGATAATTCCAGCATTGCTTTTGAACTGAAAAATAGCAGCGACAAGATCTGGCATGAGTCTAATAATAAGGTATGTGTCAAGAGTGTGACTATGACAAACTATAAGCCAGGGTCAATATCTTTTATGATCCAGAGGCTTCTCAGTTCTCAGTGTCAACATAGACTCGTATGTGTTCACTGCAGATATCAATCTTCATCAGCCCCTGTGATGAACCCCACTCGGTGACAGAGCTGAAGTCAGAAAAGATGGATCAAATAAAGGTAATGTAGACTGAAGACAGTTTATATACCCACAGCTGGACCTATGTCTTTCTCCCTATTTGTTGTCCCTTTTATAACTGCAGCCTTAGGGTCACAGAACTCCATCTGTGATTCTGCAGTTGGCTATGAACCAATGGGGTGCCACTTCTCAGCAAGTTCTTAATACACAGAGACTCCCCTTTGACCAAGGCATGACTGACCATAGTAAGTCTAGAGGAAATGAGGGAAGAGGGGGCTGGCTGGGGTGGAAATATAGATATTGTAAATTGAGGAGGGCTTGGTGCTGGCAACTCCTCTGTATCAGCTCTCTATAATCTGGCTGCCTCTTAGTCTTCTGATTCTCTGTTCTTGCTTCCTGAAGATTTGACAACCCATCCTTCTGACTTGGCATTGAAAGGTACATGGTTCCTTCCCCGGACACCCATGAAGAGGACATGACCCAGGTAATGTATTACACTTGATGCTGTTTTGAGAGTAAGTTTGGTAGAGATCAGCTAATACTTAGATTTGTCTCAAGTATTCCATGTTGTATCATTTCACTCTATTTTTTTCCATCACCATAGCTTTTGCCCTTGAACCAGAGTTACAACAAATCCTATCAGCTGTTTGGCTTGATTGATACTATGGCAATGACCCCTACTGTTGACAATCTGAATATCTCTACAAATGAGATGAGGCATAATACCGAGATATTTCTCTTGAGAGAAAGTTGTAGTAGTCATCAGAGTGTTGACAAAAGTCAGGGAAGTGGATTTGCTGATAAGGGAGCAAGGCAAAGAGCTGGGGGTTCAGGAATCTTCATCTTCTCTTGTCTTGATACATGTATTTATTCGCATACTTGCAGGTGAAATCTGCAGGGGAGATAGTCAAGGGGCAAGACACGGATCCGGAAGAGATACGTGCAGACAAAAGCTCTCTGAGTACTACCGTCCAGGATAAGTCCAGTAACATAAAGTCAGTTGTATCTTCAAGAGGAGCAGCTCTGGCCCTTTGAGAGGACCACAGACCTTACCCTTCCCTCTGTCTGTATCCTTCTGAACTTCCCCTCCGTCCATGTAATCTGGGATGTGATTCCTATGTGTCCTCCAGCCTGCACTCCTGTGCCCCCGAAAGATGGCACTGGACTCCTCCACTATCCTTTTTCTTACTATTATAAAGTCCCTTCATCTGCCCCAGACTGCCCTGTTACCCCAGAATGAGGACAGCGGTTTGGGATCATGCTAGCATTACTTACTCTGGGCTTATTTCTCCTCGGAAAGAAACATGGGTTCCCTGAACTAAAGCTCTAGAAGTGGGAAAATGCCAGGGAGCAAAGGGCTTCCTGGAGCAAGAGGGACATTGAAGAACCAGAGTCTTCAATCACTGTGATCTTCCTCATCTACCAACTACCTATTTTGCTCATAATCTTACCAAACGCAAAAGACAATCCTTGCATAGCCTGAGATAAGCAAGTTGATTCCTTGGATTAGACCTCTACTCAGACACATACAGATAGAGAGGGACCCCCAGGAGAGAACATAGTGACCACAAGAGATAGGTGCTTCTGGGGAATGTCTCCTTCCCTCAGAGAGGTTCATTGTTCCCAGAGTGAGCCCAGCATAGGGAAATACAAGCCTGCATTCAACAGTACCTAATGATGTAAAGTCTTTGCTTTCATTCTTGCTTTGGGTTCTGGGAACAGTCTGGAGAAGAGAAAGTAAAGGACTGCTGCAGAAGAGCCTTTTTCTCCTCTACTACCTGTGACACCTGACCTTTAGCACCAGGCCAGAACAGAGCATCTTCCATTTCTGTTGTGTGGCTTGCTTTTTCTCCTTTGCCTCTACCCTCTTTATCTCCCCCACATCTACCTCACCTACGTTCACTCCCTTTCCATTACCATCCCCATGCCTTCCTCTTAACTGAGCCCTGAGCCATGCCCCTCTTACCCTCTTGTCCCACGATCTCTAGAATATTGGGCACTAACAAGGTGACAGAGTCCTGGAATCCCATCCCATGCCTTGCTCCCTGCAGAGCCTCCCATGGGGACTATGAGGAGGGGAAAGGAGTCCTTGGAGCTGGGCTCCTGCAATGTGGAATTTTGTGAGCATGAAGAAAGGGATTAGAGCAGTGAGTGTAGGAGCAACCCAATAGGAAGAAGACGGAGGAGATAAGTGGGGAAAGACAACCCTCTTTCTTCTATGTGTTTCAGATGGAGGGTATTTTCACTTTCAATTATTTTTGTATGGTTTTTATTTGTGTTCCTGCATTTATGTGTCAACAGATGGATAAATACATTGCAAGTTAATGTATTATCCAGACATGCTATCTAACATACATTAATGGGATGCCAGGCAATGTTTGTATACACATATACACTGCATAATTCTTAATACAGTATTAATTAATACAGTATTAATACACCTACATTTCTTATTTTAGTTCAATTCTGGATTTATTCCCCAAGTTATTAAACCTGGTAAGTGCATTCTTTGATTATCAGTTTCTCTAACTGGGGCTGGCACTGCATCCAACCTGCTATGAAAGTTTTGCTTAAGTTAAACTCTTTGGGCTTGTCCCTTCCACCTCAAAGAAATAGGAAGAAATGATTCAGATTCACAGGGGAACTTGCCAAAGGCAGTCATGATCGCAACTGCACTTCTACCAGTGACATTTCCAAGGCCCCTTTCACACCTGACCTCTGATCTCCCCCATTCTGTAAACGCATCTCTTTCCTTCATCATCCAGCATCACCTGCCCGCCCTGCATTTCTTCCCTCCCACAGGATGGGCGGGAATCACCCAAACCAAGTCTCTGTGGCCTTGAAGACAACAATAGCTTACCAAGTTGCAAAGTGAGGAGAGAGGTTTTAATTTGTGTATAAAAATGGGAGGAGGAGAGAGAGTGGGAACTGGGATTGGTATGTAAAGTGAGAAAAGATTGGTTTAAAATAAAAATAATACAAATAATATATGAAAAATATCTTTAAAAATGAAAAAGTTGGCCAACACCTACATTCTGTTTGATTTTATTTCAGAGAAGTTCCTTTGGATCTGAGAGTGTAAAGACTCTGGTCCTACAGTCCCTGCAGCAGTAAGTATCTCTGGGAGCTTGACAAAGGGGAGCAATGGGGGAAGTGAGGCTATAAAATTATAACTCTACTTGATGAAACTTTGAACTCTCATTTGGGGCCCAAACAAATGTGATTATCCCATTGTATCACCACTCCCCCAAAAGGTATTGCCTCATCTATGACAACGGAGATCGTCAGGGACTCCTCAATGCCTACCATGCCGAGGCTTGCTTCTCATTGACCGTCCTCTTCAGTTCCACAGACTCATCCTCCCACAGTCAGCTCAAACTCTTACCTAGAGCACTGCACCCTGCTCTGCAGCAGAGCCAGGCAATGTCTTGGAATCATTTCACTGGCTGGACCACCACAGCTGTTTCCTCCTTTACTCCTGGGAACAGTTTGTGCGAGTACTTCAAGTATAGCAGAAATATGAAGGTTCTCAAGCATCCTTGTAAGTGTGTGGTGGGTAAGATGGCGCAGGATGAATGGGGACGGAGGGCGCCATCACAGATGCCAGAGGCTAAGGTTCCTGATGTTGCCCTCCCCGTTTCTGCCACACTCTCTTGACTCCACAGCAACAGCTGCTTGTTCCTAGACCCTTTTGTATGTGACTCTGACTAGGACAAGCTGTGTGGGTGTGTAAAAAGCATGTGCAACTCCAAGGACACTATCTTTCTCTCATCTCCTTTACAGATATGTGGAGACGGCTGCTGAAGCATAAAAAAATGTGACATTATTTGCTTTCTTCGTACATTGTCCAAAACTCAGCATGACCTCACCTCCTTTGTGGTGGGCATGTGTTTCCAGACAGTAAGCACCTGCTACTTCCTTGGGCCACCTCACATACTCAGAAAGCTGAGGGTGAGCAGAAACTTATGCAGCACCCTGAGCCTGTGCCTTCTTCTCTTTCAGGATTCGATGCTCTGCTTCTCTGTTAGTGGATTATTCAAGGAAGGTGAGTGTCTGCAGAATCACCTCTCCAGACCCTTCCTACTCCCTGCCCTGGATGTGCACCCCTGAGAACTCCCCAGCTCCCCCCCCCAATTGCACACCTTTCCTTGCTGTCCTGCCTTGTGCTCTCCTGCCCACATCACCCTGTCCCCAGACCATCCTGGTCTGACTGAGGCCTGTGCCTGTCTGGGTGAGGGAGGGCACAGGAGCTGTGGGCTTTGTGACTCTCATTCCAGATCCTTACTTTGACTTTGGGCCAGTTGCTTAACCTCTACATTTCCACATTTGCCAATGGCCCTTATTAAACTCCCCCTCCCTGTAAGGGAAATGTGAAACAGACCAAGTGAACATTGGAAGAGTCGCTTCACAGGCTGCAGCATGTGGTAGGGGACCCATCAGTGGACGTGGATCATTTCCATTGTCACCAGCCCTCTCCATTCCTGCCACATTCTCCTGACTCCAGGCTAAAATTGGATTGTTTCTTGGCCCCCTTTAGTATAAAACCCTGCCTGGGGAATGCCCTGGTGAGGGTATAAAACATTGACAACTCTAACAGTGCATTATTGTTTTTTGTCCTTGAAGTGGAGGGCAGCTCTCAAGGATGTGTCCATGCTTTCACTCAGACCTTCATTGCTACCTATATGGGAAGATTTCAGAGTAAGTCCTGTGCTGTGGGTGGACACTCTCATCTAGCCTCGGTCCAGCAGTGTGACAATTTAGTGGTGTACTTTCAGGGTATCACCAATATTATGGAAGGCCAATGGATAGATTCAAATTGTAGTCTAATGTAGTGGCTAACAGTATAGACTTTGGGGTCAGACTTCAAGGCCCTTTCTTGTTGTAGTACTCACTTATTCTGAGAATTTGGTCAAATCACACAGCCCATTTGTAACTGTCTTCTAAAAGTGTTGATTGTACTGTCCACTCCTTTTAGTTGATCAAACAATTCTTGAATTAAAGTTAAACCTGCCATTCTATTGATGTAGACAGTCGCCAATGGTATGCTCACTCTTGGGAGTATTGTAGATAACCAGGAAGGAAAAGCAGGGCAAAGCAGTAATGTGGGGTAAATCTGGTTGCTGCTCAGTGAGAGCATGGCAATTGTTGTGAAGTATATTTTTTGTCAGTTTTCCCATCCATCTCAGGGAATGTTTTTCCTCTAGTCTTTGTATCATCAATGACAAGCTGTTTGTGAGGAATATCCAAGGGTTTTCCAGTGCTTCCATCACTGTGGCCATATCTTCTTCCAGCTATTTGTCTGGCTCCTGTGAACATCAACAGAAGATGGTGCAAACATTCTATACACAGTCTGGGATGAATGTCGAGTAGTCTCAGAAGTGAGTGCTGTGTGTGCACAATGATGTACTTTGAGGTATGGTTAGGATAATGAGTTTTGGAAACATACAGGTTTCACTTCTTCATTTCATTCACTATCTTACTGAACAGTAGGCTAACCATTTTAAATAGCTATTTGATAATTCCCTGAAATACACCGACTCTGTTCATTTAATGAGACATTGGAATTTCAGGAATTTGCCCATATTATGGCACAAGTGTCATCTCGATGACTATCTTGAAATATATGTAGAGGCATGTTTCTGCCCCATAGATCAGGAAATGCCTTTGCATTGTCATTGTATCTTTTCTTATGTTTTAATGGATGGTGTGTGTTCATCTTCAATCTCAGGTGCCTTAATGATGAGCAGTAGGATTACAGAAAAGCAATACAAAGCCTTGCTTTGCTCAAGGTGAGGTTTGGAAATTAAAGCCAAGTGAGAAAATGCCAAGTGGTCTGGAAATGATGCTAGTGTTCTTGTATTGGCTGATCTCCCAATTGCTTCCTTTACTTCCTCCAGGTGAAGGACACAATCCCAGAGGATACCTTCACACTGACAGGTCCAGGATCCTAAGAACATACCAAGAAGAAATTCCTGGGTGCCACTGTCTTCTTTCTTCAAACCTCTGTTGTGATTTTGTTCTAGTACAGTAATTTCCATGTAAATGAATTGGGACATCTAGTTACCTTCTGGAAGCTAAGGCCTATCTTGTAAAGCTAACTCTTACATATCTAAAGGAGATGTTGTTTGTGCATTTGCCACATATTTCAGGATCCTTGTTTATTATACTTTCTCTTATTATAAATTTTATTCAATTTGTTGAGCATTTCGTGTTTATGTAATATATTCTAGTTACTTTCACCCTTCCCCCTGTCAAATCTCCTTCCTACCCCTCCCTCTTCCCTATAAGTCTGTGTCTCACACTCATGGCTTTTGTTTTGTGTTATGCCTCTGTGAGTAAAAACAGGGCCATCTATGTGACCATGTGTTTAGAACTGTCCATTGGGTTCAGCTGTCAATACACAGTTAAAGACAATGATTGTCTTTCCTCTAGAATCTGTCAGTGGCCAATAGTTTGGTAGAGAGGGATAGGCCCCCATTCTATGATCAACTAATGAGAGGCCTAGTCTTGTCTAGGCCCAATAGAGGCAATCTCAGTCGCTGAAAGATTATGGTAATTATGTCATGCTCAGAAGATACTATTGATGTTGCCAGTCACGTTGAATCCCTTCAAAATCCACTGAAGGCAAACCATTATTATAAGAATGAGTACCACTAAGGCAGAACTGCTGCAGAGACTGAAGTCCTAGACCAGGTCTTAGGCTGTAGAATTCTGCTCCTCTATACTATATAGCTTCCTCTGTTGAGCATACTCTCTAACCCTGTTAAAAATGAGTACTGATGTTCTATTTGCCTAAAATAGTAATCAAGTATTTCATGCAGATAACAATATTCTTTTATTAGCCATACAAATTTATTCAAAATTAAAAACAGTATTATTGGTAGGATATAGCATGGAAGGACACATAAAAACCTGTGAAGAAAAGTAATTACAATATATGTAATTGTCGTATTATAAAAATCCTTGGTACAAAAAGAAGCAAGAGTAAGGAAATTACTATTAATTTTCTATTTTTAATAAAAGCAACAATATCCAGGAAACCTATGAAAATATGTACAACCACTAAAAGAATAAAAGTAGCCACATACATTGAGATAATTTAGAAAAGGAAAATAAAGATTATTATTTCAAGAAAAAAATGTGTCCTCCACTGCCTGGTTCTAATAGAACCGGGCAGGCCTGTGGTTTCTCTTTCCCTTACAGGGCAGGCAGACCGAGACAGGCATGTAGGAAGAGAAAGCAAGGGCCTGCCCAGAGCCATTAGAACAAGGCAGGTGAAGGAAACTTACATGGCTGCCTGGGGCCACCTGCCTTGGGCAAGGAAGAGAAACTGCAGTCCTGTTTCATTATGCTGAGGATACCTTTGAGGTTTCTAGTATGGGCACAGACCTCTAATCTATGCTAAAAGGTAATTTCCCAGGGAAGGACTTGTGGAAGAGTTGGAGAAGAGTCTCCAAAGGTGATTTCTTCACGTTGCTTGGAACCTAACATAAGAAATTAGGGGCTCTGGAATTTGGTGGTAGGAAACCAGCACCTTCCTAGTGTCTTTTCAGAGCAGAGATAATCTATCTCATATATCTCAAACCGTGTGGATACCCTCACAGCTTTCTCCCTTAAAGCCATACATAGTAATAGCCATTAATTTTCAGTTGCTAGAAAAATCCTTTCTAAACTTAAAAATGATGGCAATCAAAGGATAAAACAGAACAGAAATATTTAACACTTGGTTTTGGTTCCAGAATGGAAAAAATTGCTTACTTAAAATTGCTGGACTCTAACAACTGGAGTTGTCTCCTAAAATACATTTAGATGTTTTTAGAAACACAGATTGTGTTGAGGGATATTCTCTGCTTTTACATTTTTTTTCCAGAGAAAAATTCAAGCAAACTAGAATGTTCTAAAAGTAGTTTTTGGCAGTTGGAATAAATATATTGCATTCAGTACAGGTGAGCATGGTTTTGTTGTTTGTTTGTTTGTTTGTTTATTTGTCACTGTGCCAGTTTTCAAAGATTTAGTTAAAAAAATCAAACTTCCTGCTTTTCAAAAATTGAGGCATGAAAATTTGTTGTTTTGAAAGACGGTCTCATTCTGTGGCCCAATCCGATTTGAAATTCCCTATGTAGTCTACACTTGCCCCAATTTGTGGTGACTCTCCTAATTCAGTCTCCCTAGTGCCAGGATTTCAAGAGTGAGGCACCAGTTGTGGCTGAGAATCATTAATATTTAAAAAGAAAATAAACAGAAATTAATAGAAAGGATCTATTTAGATGTAAAGAAGGGAGAAAGCAGAATGCTTGGGTGAGGGTGTGGTGGTGCTGAACCAAGAAGGATGGTGCAGACTCTCCCTGGTAACAGGGAAGGGAGAAGTCCAACCTCCAGACGGTGATGCCACTTGTGGGTCTTCAGATTGGCGAGGACCTGGATGAGTGACAGCTGAGGCATGACATGCTCGCTTGCGGCGGGGAGGTGGAGGCGGGGCCTCCTGTCGCACTGGCCTCCTGAGCTGGGGAGCGAGCTTGGCGGTGACGCGGGGCCCTCACGTGACCTGGGGCTGCAGAGCGACGCAGCCTTGGGTGCAGTCGTCACTTGTGTCTGGCCACCAGCGCTTTGCTTCCCTGCGCAGGGCGGGCTGGCATCGGGCCCTGGGCGAGCGGAGCAGGTAAGAGGCCCGCACGCAGCGGCCCTGAGGACGACAGCCTCCGGATGCTCCGGAGCGCTCTGTAGGACCGTGCAGCGGCCGCGCGGCTTTCTGCACGGAAAAGAGAACAGTGGCTGCGTCCGGGA